CGGACGAGGAGGATTGCCAGTGGTAGTGGCTGGGGGTAGGGAGCAAGTTGCTTTGAGCGAGTGTCTACCCTTTTATTGGCAAATGGGAAACAGGATGAGAAACCTGATCTCTAAAGATGAATTCTCCATCACATCGGGGACACAGGCTTTCAACCTGCCATCTGAAGGAATTATTTGCTAGGGCTGCCTGGGGCTTGGTGTAGCAGAAGCCAGGTCTTTTATTTTATATTTTATCTTATTTTATTTTATTCATGTTTGTTTTTTTTTTCTCGTATTTTCTCCAGGAGATCGGATTGCCAGTTTAGTATCTTGATTGTTGCCCATGGCACAACTCTGGGGTTTTCAGTTAAATTTTTCCTACCTCGCTTTATAGGACTCCGGTATGGAAGGGAGAATGACTTGGATCCCATGATAATATTGTGAGTCATTCTGAGCATTTCTTAGTAACCACCACTCCACAAAGACACGTCTCTTTTCGTGTAGACTACCGGGACAGTTTAAATGGACCTTCCCTCCGTCTCAGCCGTGGTCTTTCCCTCATCTGAAACCAACCTCCCCACGCCGTTCCCCAAATAACATAAAATAACTTAAGAATGAAAGTGCCTTTAAGTGACAAACATTACACAAATCTGCAATAACCCACATTGTGACGGGGTAAATATTATGTCTGGGAAGACATCCATAGCAAGAACGTAATGAAGGAATTTCATTTCATAAAAGCATTGGGAAGGGGTACTATTTTGAAAGAGGGGGGGTTTAAATTGCCAGGGAGGTCACCATAAACAGAAATGCCTCCAAGGAATTAAACCCCCCATTCTAATGGCCCAGAGAACTCCCAGACCTCATGGGGCTGAGTGTGGAATTCACATTGCAGCTCTGCAGGGGCGGAGAGGGTGGGCGGGTGGGTGAGGGGGAAAAGGGGGGCATAGGCATTCACTAGAGAAGAGGCTGTGTCAAAAAAAAGGCCTCTTCCCCTTTTAGGGGACCACAAATGTGCAGACCTGATGGCCTTTGGGAGGCGTAGATCAGTAGTTTGAACAGGATCTACTTCCCTAATCACACAAAGCAGGTCCTGGCTATAATGAGAACAGGTGTTACCAAAACACACGACGTCCAAGAAGAGTGTCCACCTTGTCTGTTCATTTAATTCATATTCCAATTATCTGCCATGTGCAGCCCCGTGCGAGGCTGGCCCTCCACAGTCAAGGCAAAGTTCAAATTCACAGATACTTGGCTGGGGTGGGGGTTAGGGGTCCATAGATCCCCAGAAAGTTTCACAAAAGAGCTTCAGCAGTCCTGGAAACTGAAACCGTACATGAAACTCTGGATGCAAGAGCACATGTACATATATATATTTTTTTTACCCCCCTTGGGAGAAGGCTTCCCAAAGGATTTTTCAAACTTATCTACGACATTCCCAAAAGATTAAAAAGTCAGATTCTTAGAAATTAGAAGGAAATCCGCCCTGGGTTCTCTTCCCCCCATTTATGATGTGGTTGATGATACGGTCTAGTAGATTTCCTCTTTGGTTCTAAAATGAATTAACGAAAGCCGTATTCCCTGATTGATCGATTCCTTTCCAACCGATTATGTAGTAGGACAGTGACAGAAGCACTCACAGATCTCATTGCTAAAATTGCTTCAAGGTCTCTCCGCTGCAGCCACGATGCGCTTTCTTGTAACTGAAAATACCCAGGGATGACCTGCCTTGACTGTTGATGTCAACAACAGGTTGGTTGGCCCCTGCTAATGAACTGTGCCAAGAACTAACTCTTGATCCTGACTTTTCGATTTTCCGGAGGTGAGGGACGGTTTCAGAACTTGTGGTTAAGTGTGAAAGGTTCTGAACCACAGCCTGTGTGCTCTGCATCACCTCTCATGCCCTGGGGACTGCTACCTCTACTTCCACTGTGAAGGAAGGGTCCGTGTCTATGCAGACACTGAATCTAAGGGAGCAAAGCCCAAGAGTGAAGCGTCCCCTGAATGAGATTTAAATCGGCAAGGAGGAAAAGGAGAAAATGGGGAAAAAAGAAGAGGGCTCAGGCTACTGAAGCCTTCACGAGTATTTTTTAGGGGCCCGATGTTGTCAGCAAGCCCGTAAAAGCCGGACGGGCAGGTTTTCCCAGTTGCAGGCTGAACTTGAGGTTATAAGTTGTGATCCTGGATATGAGCCAGCGCCCAGACAAATCAGTTTTGTCGAACAGAGAAAAACCCTTCCATGTCCAACCTCTGGCAATTTCTGTGAGGTTTTCCAATCCCACGGGCCGGCAGCTGGTCAAAGAGAAAGGAGTTTCTTTCTCTGCCCTTGGTTTAGAACTGAGAACCAAGGCCTTTGGAGAAACCATCGGATCAGTGCTGTTTGACAGAATGCAAAACTGGCATTGAAATGTTTGGATGAGCCAATAGCCAGGACCTTCTCCGCCACTGTGATGTGTTGATGTCAATGACGTATTTTCAGGCACATTTTCAAAAACAGAAAATGAAACAGCAAATAGTCTTGAGATCGCTTAATAAGACGTAATGAAACTTTTAAAGGACAAGATTCAGTGAGGAAGATTAAGACTAATTGTCAAAATTAGTGAGAATCATCTGTTCTCTTCGTAATGGGAAGCAAATTGCAAAAAAAAAAAAAATCTGGCAGGCTTTGAGGCTGACACTTGGACTCGAGAGAGTAAAATCGAGTTGTATTTTATGACTGGGGAGAGATCATGAGACAAAGTCAAACAGGGCCTTCTGACAGCTCATTCTGCTGTGTAGTACTGACCCCGGAAAAACACAAACAAACAAACAAACAAACCCACTCAAGACCAACAATACACAGGGTAACCGTAATTGGGTCAAACGTGCAATTAGGGTTCCTGTATTTCGGACGCCTTATTATCACACATGGGAAGCCGAGCCCGTTCAAAACAGATACTGACCGTTTATGGCATGTTAATCGGTTTTCTTGTTCCAGGTTATCAGAAGACAGCCCGGCCTTGGTTGTAGCTATTTTACTCTTTGGGTTTTATGCAAACTCTCGGGCATACTAGCACGAATCGGGCAGCCAACTGCAAACAATCCACACCTTGGGGAAACAGTTCACTGTTACCCAAGTAAACACAAGCACCTATTAGTCACCCACTCAAAACAGAAATGGCCAATGAGAGACAAGAGACCAGCCCTCGATGCCAGAAAAGGAACCATGCTGCTTTCAAAATCTCATTCTTTATTATCACCGACTGAACTGCACACTGCCACAAAGCCACTACAGCACTTCTCACGGGAAAATATCACAGGCACGATCCACTCAAGTTTTCCAAACTTTTATAACCAACACCTGACACATGGACCCACATAGATGCACACTACGATAATAGGACTTTCTCTGGAAAGGCAACCCAACGAGACTCAGCCAGCGTCCCAAGTAGTATAAATACCCAAGAATTGAATTAAGATTATTAGCTAGGCTGGTAGGCAAGGACCAGGCAAGAGGGCCTGTGTGTTTTATTGGCTTCTCACCTACTCTGCCAGCTACTGATCTGAAGCCTCCAAGATGTTTTCCAAACACACATCTCTGAATCATAATGTGAATTCCATTTACTGGAAGGCGGGGACTTGTAGTATAACAAGTGAACCCATATAATGACTTTATGCTTTCATATGTTATAGCATCTCTCATGCTTTCAATAAGTGGACATAATTTTCTTTGTATTACTCTATTATTAACATTGTATTATCGACATATATTTTCAATCATGTTGTAAGTTTGTTTTTTCTTTCTTTTCTTTTTTTTTTTTTTTAATTTTCTCCACGTAGGATTCTATTTTAAAACGCCGTGGGCAGCTAAGATAGCAAAGATGAAGGCCCCCCAAAACAACACACTTTTACCCCTTCCCCTCTTTGGCTAACCAAACACAGATTTTCTTGTATCTTTGAATGCCTTTATAAAGAGTAATGATACTCTTATGTTTAAATGTCCACTGGTCATAGTTTAATTTTTTAATACAAGAGTCATCTACTGCTGTTTATGCATTTATCACATCATTTTTTTATCCTCAAAATAACTTTTATTCGTTAGCTTATTCAATACTATATTATGAAAATGAAATGTTCAAAACAAGCTCTCCTTCCTCCTTCAATTAAACTTTTCGTATGTATTGCTATTTATAAAATACGACTTCAGTTCTTACAAAACAGAGAAAGCACAATATTTGAAAATAATTGGAAACCAGAGGAGATTACTGTCCAAAATTCCTCTTTCCGCTCTAATACTTCAGTAACAGGCACAGAAAAATAAAACCACACCGAACTGCCCTGAGACAACAGTTCCTTTGGGTAACCCAGTCTTTAAAAGATCAGTGCTAAAATGTTAACTGGGTCTGGCCCCTCCCTCAGATAATAAGAAGGCATCCAAATTATACGTGACAGGAACGTGATTTTATGCTATCAAATTTGCCAAACCAGAGGTGGTACTATCGCTGTGTCTTCATATTTTATCATAAAATGGTAAACTTACTTGAAACCACATTTCAATAACCATATACTGTACATCCCTTAAAATGATCAGAAGTGATCATTTGAAACTCTGTCCCTTGTCATAGGCAGCACATGGATTCTAAGTTAAAGGCTTCCATGATACAGATTTTTGATAATTATTGAGTAGAGACCACCAGTTGTATAATCTTAGTTTCCATGATGGTGAGTTTTATATTTTTACCTTTTAGCAAAAATCAGAGGGATTTCCTTGAAATTCATAATTCACACTTTGCATGTTGCAGATCAGTCTTTAATCCAATATTACAAAGCAACAATGTAAAGGTATATTCTTGAAAATATACTACACTTTAAATCAGTATTTTTTAAAAGCTTGAAGCAGCAATATCAAGAAAGATTGTGCTTTCAGGGATCCCATCACAGAAAACTTCCAGAACATCAGAGAAACTTCTAGAAGTTTTGAAATTTAGATTTGTTGCCATGTAACGACTCGCGCTCCCATATCAGTTTTGATAGACACATACCTCTTCCACTCCGACCGACAAACCTGAGGTCATTGAATCTTGCAACTTGGTTTTTCATGGCTGCGGTGGCATTTCTCAATTCAGCTGAGTAGTTTTCATCATTGCCCGCCATTACAGTGACCAGAGTGCCGTCGGGGACATCCCCCAGAGCCACCACCTAAGCCAACCAAGGGACAGACGCAGACATCAGAAATGCTGTAAACATTTATGCCATTGGTGTATTAATTGCTTTAAAATTAAATGTATATTAACTGATCCTTTTTTAAAAGACTTATTTGAGAGAGAGAGAGAGAGAGAGAGAGAGAGAGAGAGAGAGATAATGTGTACAAGCGAGCAAGGGGAGGGGCAGCGGGAGAGAGAGAGATTCTCAAACAGACTCTGATCTGACTGCAGAGCCCAGGATGGGGCTCCGTCTCATGACCCTGAGATCTTGACCTGAACCCAAATCAAGAGTCAGACGCTCAACCAACTGTGCCACTCAGGTGCCCCAGCGATCCTTTTTAAGTGTGCAGAGGAATAGCAAAACAATGGGAAAGTTATTAATGGGAAGGATCTCTTTGAATTCCATTATGTAGAACTAAATATAAATTTTTGAGTCCTAAAACATTCACTTAATAAAGTCACTAAGATCCCATGACATAGTTGGGACAAGACTGACTATGGCAAGGGCTTCGGAAGCTATGCCTTCTCATGAATGCAAACATCTTAATCCTTCATACTTGAGAAATGCAATGTCTCGTTTTGATAAGATTAGAATCTGACCCATCTCTCTCTTGTCTAGATGTCTACTGACAGGGCCCACTTTGCTGTTAGGTGTTTAAACTTATTTTTGCTAAAATTAAAAAAATTGATCTTTAAACTGAATTGCAGATGATCCTTGAATGACTCTGTTTGCGGTTCATCTTTGAAGCCCCCTACTGGCTTCTCTTATTTTGATTATCAGTAGCAGGGAAATCTGGCATACAAGGAAACAAAATCAGAAACCTGCCCTTTGCTTATTACTAATTACAAAATCAACAGACCTCAGAGAAGAGGGCACTGGCTTTTAGGTGCTGCTCTGAATTCAGGAGTGGAACTACGTAGCATTTTTCTATCTGTGGGTCCCCTGGATGCATCAACTATGTCCTGATAGATGACTGAGGTTTTCTCCAAACCCAGCTTATCTTCAAGAAAAATGCCTTTAATATAATTGAATAGGAGTAGATTTCCTAACAGGGGTACTGAAGAAACTGGTAGATAAATATTTTTTATACTCACGTGATTAAAAAGCAGTAATTTCAAGGTAAAATGCTCTGAAGAGCATGGCCTAAAGCTGCTTTGTGCAGTTAATTCTATTTCTTGGCCATCATTTGATTCTTCTGGAAATGATGTGTGTGTGTGTGTGTGTGTGTGTGTGTGTGTGTGTGTGTGTGTGTTGAGGGGAGCTAGACCATTATTATTAGCTCTATTTTCATTATTTTTATTTTTTAAAGCAGTCATAGGGTTTCAAATCAAAATGCCCCAACTTGTATCTATTCCTATCACTTCTGATATTCTTCATGGTACTTTCTCAGTCAGTAGGGAATTTGTTTTAATCCTTTGAATTCTATAATCCCTTTCTCCATTCTGTATTTGAGTTGTAATAGCAATGAATTCTCCAATGAGTCCTCTTCCTTTTTACCTAATCATCACTACATAATTTTGGGGTAATACTTATATTTTCAATCCTCTTTTTCTGTCTGTAAATGAGGCTGCCCTAGGCTCCCTGGTACAAGAGCAAGGCCATTGTTTCTTGGAATGCCCATCTTCATTGCCTGTTTGGCCACTACCCCTTCCCGGTGTCATCCAGGTGACCATCTATTGCTTTTAATCCTTGTGATGCATCAGCTCAGATTCTGAAGAGTATGACAGGAAGGATGAGCCATCTCACCACAAGTGACTAGAGGACCAGGAGAACCAGCCCGCAAGAGGGAGGCATGTTCTTCATCTGCCTTATCCCACCTGCTCTGTCGAGCACGGCCTGGGCCTTTTATCTTTCTTTCTAATCCTTTCCATCCCAATGCTGGGCATGTTTTCTATGAAGGAGATTTAAAAACACAGCTATTTACTCCCCAAGCGCTCTCTAATTAGATATTTAGTTCCCATTATAAATGTGTTTGTTGCCTTTTAATTAAGAGCAGTAATATGACAATTCCCTTTTGTTTCGAAAACATCATTGAAATAAATCTCCTTGATCGGTTATTTACTTATTTTACCATTTCGTTTCTATTCCCACAAAATGTGCTTGCTCTATTCTGCTTTTTTCTGCCTCTTAAAAATTTTTCCATTTTTTTTCTCACTATTTTCACTTCCCTCTGTAAAATTAGCTCACAGTGTTGAAATGCCCTCCTTGAGCACATATTTTTACTTCCTCATCCCCATCTCCCTGTGATGACCTGGCTTCTCTATTTTAATCCAACATTTAGTAAGTATACAGGGGCTGTATACTTAACTATGTGGTTTTCAAACTGAATAACTCGTTGTTGGGGCAGGATCTGTAAGAGGTTAAAGTAAGTAAATCTAGTTGTATATCTTCCAAAATGAACACTAAATCACCTTCCTCCCACTGGCTCCTCTCACGGGGCTCCATGCCTGCACCTCTCTCATCTTTCCAAAACTATCCTTGTCAGTAATTTGGCAAACTCACGAGACCTTCACCAACTAGAAACAAATATAGAGTAAAATGATCGTGGTGGCTAAATATGAAAAGGTTGTTGATGTTGGAATTTAAGACTAACAAAATTAGGTGTTTAACCCTTCCTTCCCCTGTCTTTCTAAAAAATGAAGCAAAAGTCCAAGATATTCAGGTGCTCGATGACTGTTTTTCTGTTTGTTTTTTTATTGATCTCAGGGGGATTTTTTTTTTTTTTGGCAGGAGGAAAGGGGAGAATATTAATTTACGCTAATAACGTATATATCATCTAATTGTTAACAAGCACACTTAGACAGGATTAAAAAATTAAAAAAATTTAAACTAACATGTCTGCTAATTTGATACAGATTGTGCCACTGATAGGCAATAAGAAGAGAATAAAAAAAATCTAACTTCAAACACAAAAAAGAAGGAACTGGAATGAAAAGCTATAAACAATAGGTAAGGAAACACAAACATTTACATTTTAACACAGACCAAACAGACAAGAAGGGACTTGTTGGCCAAAGGATATCTCATATTTTGTTTTACTTCTCTGTTTTTAAAGTATCAGGAAGTTGGGCAAAATATCAGCCCTGCTATGTACTGCATGGATCTCCCCATACTGCTCTTGGCTAGTCTGTTCACGGTTCAAACTGGCATTTCAAACAACTCTAATTAGGTTGAAATTACAGTTACAATTCATTTATTTCAAATCCCTTAATTTTCCAGGGTTTCAAAGAAAGCTGTGGAGTGGAACCCAGAATTCAGCCAAGATGACATTTAATGCATACCTAGGGACTGCAATCTTGCCGATAGAAACCCTGCTTACTTCTTTCTTATGGAAAGAATATGACTATTAGCATCCAAAACCCCTGAACTTGCTGACGGCATGTTTATGCCTTTGGACTCTGGTGTGTACCAGGGCTGAAACAAACTGTAATATTGCAGCATTAAAAAAAATATAAATATATATATAGCTTTTTAGGCTGCTTCTGTAAATCGTAGGTAACATGTAAGCAAATTTAAGATTTTCCCAGTGGTAAAATATATCTCTTTTCTACGCTAAAAAATGAAGGTGCCCCATGGGAAAAATGAAGGGGGGGCATATTTTGGGGCCCAGGATAAGCAAATAGGAAGAGTTTAATCTATTTTAAAGAAAATTCAGAATTTTAAGTCTCCCTTTAGTTTCAAAGATGAAAGCAGGGGATTGACACGTAGGATTTCAAAAGACTGGTAAAGAATCACTTAAATGCTCTTTTCATCAATATCAGACTCTATCACTGTTTCACATTCTCTCCTCCTTATTACAGGGAACACAACCATTCTTTACTGATTAACTTCTTAAAAAGATTGTCTGGGGCTTATGTGAAATCCACATTTTAAAGTCCTAATTTCTCTGGAAACTGTTTGGGAGGCGGGTAGGTGGCTAAGGGCAGAGTGGGGCCAAGGATACAGGAGGAATCAACCCAGACACAGTCCCGTTTTGAGGGTTAGCTTGCTTGTCTCCCTAACCTTTGGGTTTATTCCCTCCCTGAAAATTCTATCAGCTACTTCAGTTGTGCAGCAAGTGAGCAGGCTTCCTTCAGGAAGAGGCCTCTCTTGATGGGGACGCAGTGGTGACAGATATTACCCAAGTGGCCTCATTTCCCCGCTGTCCTTCCCTTTCTCCCATATGTTCTCAAGACCTACTTGAACTTTTTTTTTTTTTTTCAAGAGAACTATGCCTCGGCCATTTAGGAGACTACAAACTATCACTCAGCCCAACAAATCAGATTTTTTTTTTAAGTGAATTGTCAAAAAGTCATTTTGAAAAAAGAAATCTCTTTGGTTACTAAGATTTCTACTGAAAAAGAATTCCCTGATGGCTTGCTCATAAAAGCAAGTTATATGATTTTTTTTCCAGTCTTTCAGAAGAAAAAAAAATAATACTTTTCTTGGGGTGGCTTGAGAAACGACATCATTTCACCTCCTCCTGAAGATTATGAATCGCTGAGTGTTTTGATATGGTTGGGCGTTGGTTCCCCGGCAGAGGAGGGGACATCCACAAGAGATCCTGATTTACCCCCAAAGGAAGCCACAGATCTCTTGGAACCCACTCCCTTGGCGTGTCAGGGGTACCAGGTTTAAATGACCCTGGGGCTGATCATCAGCCCGTCTGTCTCCCTCTGCTCTCTATCTGAAAGTGGCCCCGGGGGCAGAGCCCTGTCGAGTCCTCTGTCACTGAGGGGACTCGGTCCTGTCCTCTAGCTAGAGGAGTCTGTTTATGCAAAGAGCTTAGAATGATTTAAAATTGAATCGGGCTCTCAATCCAAATCTACAGCGAAAGAGTCCAGGGGCTGCTCAACCTCCTCCTCAAAAACTTCTGCTTTCAGAAAACTGGGGCACTTCTACAGACAAAGCCAACTACACATTTTGTTTTGCTGTAGGGATCCTAATGTAACTTCGGAAGGTGCCTAAGGCTTAAAATATAAGAACTCCGACGGTACTTCGTAGAAAGGTGAACACTGTCCATCGTAACTAGATCAAGATCCACTAGAGGCCTGGAGCCATTAAAAAAAAATCTTATATTAAATTCATCTCCCCTTAAAGGGCACAGTTATCTTAAAAAAAAAAAAAGAGTGGTTGATCTTTACAGCCTCCCCCTCCACCTGCTTTTCTTAGCCCTTTAAATGAACAGGAAATGACTACAGATTGTACTAAAAAGTTGCCCCTTCTTAGACCCACTCAAGACAGAAGAATAGAATCCCCACCGCCAGAATTAAAATTCTACTGTTTGCAGCCGGGGTGTGTGTGTGGGGGGGGGGGGGTAGGGGAGGCAGTGGTTGTTTAAAAACGCAGGGTGTTGTTTATAGACCCGCGATGAAGGCCGAGGTTTCTAAAGGCATCTGGAAGCTGGGGCAAGATCAGGGGTGGAAGTGAACCTCCGGAGCCGCGTGCATCTGAAGTCCCCGCCACCCGCCTCCCCAGACACGCACGCTGCGAGCGGGGTCCCACCCTGACCCGCAGGAGACAGCCCGGCCCCCTTTCGAGGCCCCGGGGCTCAATCTAGCTGAGCCGGAGATAAGGCTCGGGAGGGTTCCGGGAAAAGAGCCGGGGCTCGCTGCTCGCGGCTTCTGGCAGCAGCAGACTAGAGGCTGCAAAAAGTCTCCCGAAGAAAACTTTTGCAAAGTTAACTACGCCCTCCGTGGACTTCGGACATGCTAATTCCGACCGGGCTGTTACCGAGGAGGTGCGGGTGGGTAGGAAGCCCGGGCAGGTTTTCCTCGTCACTTTATCTTCACTGACCCCAAAGTCTAAAAGTATCTTTATTTCCTGATGCCTCCATGGGAGGGAAGCGGAATGGCTTGGGTGTCAAGCCAGTAGGTGGGGAGGGGAGAAGCATGGCAGCAGGCAGGCTGGCCGGGGTGGGGTGGGGTGGGGGGTGGGGGGGAGCTGGGGTGTAACTTTGCCTACTTTGTGCAAACTAAGGACCTCGGTCCCGGAGGTCCGGGAGGTCGCGACCGGCCCTCAGTGCACGCCTTTGGGGGGCAATCAGATGTTTTTCATCCCCCTCCCCGTGCACACACCCCCCCCCCAGGATCGCCACGGCAACCGAGCATCCCCCGCGTCCCGAGGGCAGGAGGATGGACCAGGGGCCGCGGGGGGCAGCGCCGGCCCCTTTCGAGGACCCGGCCCCGCCCGCCTGGCCGCGGGCCTCCCGGATCGCCCCCGGCCCCCGCGGTCCTCCCGCCACCCGCTCCGGGCCGAGTACCTTGAAAGCGATGGGCAGGGTCTTGTTGCAGCGCCAGTGCGTGGGCAGCACGGAGCAGAGGAAGTTGGGGCTGTCGGTGCGCACCAGCTCGCCGGGGTGGTCGGCCAGCACCTCCACCATGCTGCGGTCGCCGGTCCTCAGCTTGCCGGCCAGGGCGGCGCCGGCGTCCGGGGCGCCCAGCGGCAGCGCCTCGCTCATCTTGCCCGGGCTCAGCGCGGTGGAAGGCGGCGTGAAGCGGCGGCTCGTGCTGGCATCTACGGGGATACGCATCACAACAAGCCGATTGAGTTAGGACCCTGCAAACAGCTCCTACCGGCCGGCGACAAGGGCGCGGATCCTCGGCGAGCAGCTCCAGGGAGACCAACATATAAGTTCAGGGGCCCTTTATTGCTGCAGGGGGGGCGGGGGTGGGCGGGGGGCTGGGGGGAGGCGGGCGGGAGACGAAGTCACTAACAGTCCCGGAGGGGGAAAGTTCTATTTTGCAGGGCAGCCTCCGTCCGACCCAGGCAGGGCTCCTAGCAACCGATCGCCTAATGCTTTAAAAAAAAAAAAAAAAAAATCGGGCGACTGGAATCCAAAGTCAAATGCCAAGGGAGGCTATCTTCTGAGTCTTGCTTTTTAGAGTTTAACTTTCAGTCTTTGGCTGTTTAAAAAAAAAAAAAAAGTTCCCGGAGGCAAAATTCCCATATACAGTTTCTAAACTATTTATACGCAGAGCAAACGGACCAGCCAGTACATAATTTGGAAGTTCCAGTAGTTAATCGCCTGTCAGGGGTTTTTGTTTGTTTGCTTGTTTGTTTTGTTTTGTTTTTGTTTTCAGGTGAGTTTTGTCTAAAGTCCCAAGACAACACAAAATATACGAGTGTCTTCCATATACAGAGCCACTTTGATCATGCAAAACCGGCTTCGGTCCTCAAAAGCAAGAGCTGCGACTTCCAAAGGTCATGCTACTAATGTATGTGCACGTATATATAAATACATACATATGCTCTACTTCATAAAATATTTACAATTCAATCTGTAGAGAATTTAAACACAACAGAAATCCATTAATGTTCGCTGCTGATTTTTTTTTTTTTTAAGTAGCCTTGAAAATAAGCTTCAGTAGTTGAAGAAGGGCTGGGCTAGAAATACTTGTCATGTTCTCTTAATAAATTCTGGCAAAACGCTCAGTTCAGAAAATTCAGCTTTCCAAAGAAAAGCTAATCTTTAAAAGAAAATGATAATAATAAAAAAAGTCCAAGTCGATGACACTCAGAGTACAGCTCTCCACATCTGAGAACTCGGGTTTGGGGATGTTGGTTAAGTTTGTGGCTGATCCTGTGGTTGGTGGGAGCTGAGCCGCAGCCGGGTCACACGCACGCAGACACGCACTCTTCCGAAGCCAGCCGCTGTCTACACCGACTCGGTGAGTCAGCCCGACTCGGGCAGTGGCGAGATGATCTTCCTCCAACGTCGCCCCAGCGCCCGCGGCGTGGACGCCCGGACGCGTCTCTACCTACGATCACCGCGTCACCGCAGCAGGTGGAGCGGGCCTGGAGAGTGGGCTCCGCGGCGCAGGTCGAAACAGGCGGGGTGGCTCGAGTCACACACGCAGTCACACTCCCACGCACACCGGCCACGCGCACGCAACTTCACGGGCTCGCCTCGAAGCGCGGCACACGTTCTCCTGCAGTTGTCAAAGGAAACGACCGGGGGAAAAAGTTCACCGGCAGGAAAGAAGTTGAAACATCCAGCCAAGAGACCAGTTCATTCAAAAGTAAGAGAGAAAGGTTAAAAAGGAGAAAAAAAAATAATAAAAAATGAAAAATAAGAATCGTAGCTCCAACGGCGGTCCAGGAGAAGCAGCAAGGGTGGACTTGCTTCTGGCGTCCCCGGGAGCCCCGGGGCGCGGTGCCTGTGGGCGCGAGGCCGGGCGGCGTGGTGCCCTGGCTGGGTCCGGCCGCGGGGCGCCCGTCCCGCCTGCGCCCGCTGGCTCTATGAATGAGAGTGCCTGGAAACGAACGTGCTTTTACTGTAAGCCCGGCCCGAGGAATTCCATTCCCTCAGCTCGTTTGCATAGGGGCGGCCGCCGGCCAATCACAGGCCTTTCCGGTATCAGCCAGGGCGCGGCTCGCGGCCGCGGGCTCCTGGAATTGGCCCGCGCGCCCCCGCCGCCGCCGCCGCCGCCGCCGCCGCCGCCGCCGCCGCGCGCTACTGTACGCCGCCCGCGCGGAGCGCCCCAGGCTGCCCGGCCTCCCCGCGCGCCCCGCGCGCCCGCATCCACGCACGCACCCCCGCCCGAGGCCCCGCGGCCCTGCGAGGACGTGGAGAGAGAGGACGCCCGCCGGCCCGGAGAGGGCTCGGGCCGCGCGCGGTGCCCGGAGCCCAGCCCGAGGGGAGGCGCCCCTAGCGCCCTGGAGATGCAGCGGCCGCCGCGAGGCTCCCGGGCCCGGCGCCGGAGCTCACCCCCCCCCCCCACCCGGGGCGGCCCCGGGTCCTGCGCGGCCACCCACGGCCGAGCTTCTGCTTCCCCAGCCTGGGTGGGATTCGGCCGCGAGGGGGCCGGAGAGCCGCTCCGCGCGCCACCGTAGCCATGGGGGGTGTGCGAGGGGTGGGGGGTGGGTGGGGGGGCAGCTGCAGAGAAGTGGCGCTGATTCATTTAACGAGGCCAGAAGGTTCTCGGTCTCCACAACATGGTTTTGTGTTTTTAGTTTTCTCTCTTGGGTTGGTTTTCTTTCATTGGTGTTTTTCACCGCGTCTGGGCTGCGGCTTCCTTACGCAGCGCGGCCGCGCTCCGCCTGGGCGTGCTTCGCGGAGAGCAGAGGAGGGTCCTGATCCGAAAGGCGACCCCGAAACAGCCAGCGACGGGGAGGAAAGTTGAAAGCATCCGCTGGGGCGGCCCCCGCGCAGGCCGCGCGAGCGCCCACCGCCGGGCCCAGGTCGCCCGAGCCCCGCACCCACCTCCGGCTCCCCGGAAACGGCGCTGGCTCCTCTCCCCGCCCCCGCCCCCGCCCCCGCGCGCCGGAGCGGCCCGGGGTGCTGCACCCACCCTGGCTTTGCGCGCGGGCGGGAACTTGCCCTGCGTCCGTCCCCGCGGCGCCGCGGGCATTTTCGCGGAGCTTAGAGGGCCCCGCCCCGGCGCGCAGGGCCCGTTCCCCACCCCCACCCCCAGGCCCCGCGGCTCCCTGGCTCCCCGGGGAACCCACCCGGTGCCCCACCCCCAGTGGCGGGGCCGCTCATCTCCACCCCCAACAGGGGACCCTCCGCTGCAGCTCCCCGGAGCTCCTTCCCGGCTGCGGACGCGCGGCTAGGGTGCTGGGGGCCGCCGAAGCGCCGGATCCTCCCTCGGCTCTGCCTCTGGGGCCTAACGGAGGCGTCGGCCAGGGCGGGCCAGCCGGGGGTGGGGGGGCCCCTTCCCGGGCGCGCGGGCTGCTGCCTTGGCCCCAGGACCGGAGAGGCCGCACGGGCCGCTCCGAGCCGCCGGGAGGCTGGCGCCGGCCCCGCGGGAGGCGCTGCGGGCCGCGGGCTCCGGGCGGACGCCAGGGGGCAGCAGCCGTCCTCGCTGCCGCCCCGGGCGCCCGGGAACGCCCCCGAAGGCGCGGGACTCCGCCGGCCCCCCTCCCGGCCTTTGGGTCGCGCCTGTAACAACTCCAGTTTGGGTAGAAAAGGCTGGAAACGGGCGCGTCCTGCCCCTGCCACCCCGGCAGCGGAGCTGGTGGCGCGGGAACCCTCCGGCGGGGGTCTCCGGCATCCTGACCCGCCCGCATCAGGGTCTCTCCCCGAAACCCCTCTGCACGCACCCCGCGACCAGCCCGCTCGCCACCCTCGGGGCGCCAGGCGTCCCGGGTACCGCCGCCGGGCCCGCGGCCTTTGGGAGCTTGTCCCCAGGGGGGCCGCCCCCTCGCTCGTCTCCGGGGCACCCGAGACACTCCCGAGAACAACCAGCAACCAGCTGAGTTTTGTTTTCATGGGTCTGGGGTCTCAGAAGACTCCTTCGTATTTTTCCTTAAAAGCGATTTTCAGGAAGCCGCATTTCAGCAGTCAAGACCCCCCCCCCCCCAAAAAAAAGGCCTCCCTCCACCTTGGCCCAGCGATTCCAAAGAGTGCGCAGTTGCCAGACCTCCCTGTGCGCCGCCCCCTGCCCGGGCTCCGAACCCCCTGGGCCGCGGCTCCGAGCCGGCCGAGCGCTCCCGGGGACAGCCCGCAAGTGCATCCCCAGGGCCCCCCGCGGACGCAGGGCAGGGCTCGTGGCTGCGGCGGCGGCGGCGGCGAAAATGGGCTCTGACTCCGGGATAGAGCGGACCGGCGTGATTCGCCCGGCGGAAAGGTCCGCGAAGAAGGCTCCTCCGGGGGCTGGGGCGGTTTGAAACCCTAAACCCTGCGAGGGGCTGCGGGCCGGACTCTGCGGCCGTCTCCCGGGCGGGGTCAAGTTCCCTAACCTAGGGGAGAGGTACAGGGTTAGATGCACCGAGTGTAGCAAGCCCTTCAGCGGCAGCCCCCCGGGCGCTGCTCAGCTAAGAGTTTCAACCAATAAATCTCGAGTTTGAACGTTGACAAGGATGATAAGAGCAAGAAAAGCTTTTGCTGATTTATTCTAAATCCGGCCGCCGCGCATTTGAGGTTCCCGGGACCTGCGCTGGCTGTAACTGCTTACACAGTGCGGTGCACCCTGGAAAACCAGAAACAAACTAACAGAAACACCGCAGCCCTCCTTGCAGAGGAGCTAAAATGCATTGCAAATCGGGCTGCAGGAGGCTCAGCTGAGATGTACCTGGAAGCCCTCAGTCTGGAGGACTAATTTTTACAGAGCTCACAGAGTTCCTGAACTTCGCATACGAAACGAAGAACTCTTTTCCACCAAAGGCGCTCCTTGTAGCGGCAATATAGCATTTCCCTTCCTCTGCCTCTCTAAGAAGGGAAGGGAAACATGAGCACGTTCACTCCTGGAATAATACTAAAACTCACTCTTGTCATAATACAAAAAAAAAAAAAATACAACGAAGCGAGGTGTTGGGCGGATGCTATATGATGGATCTTTCCAAATTTGCTGCGTGGGGGGAAACTCCAATAATGCTCATAACAGGAATGAAATGGAAGTTTTCACAGGGCATTTTTTAAAGTAGTATTTGGTTAGCAAAATTTGGAAGCAAGATAATTTCATGGGGGAAAATAACAGCTCGTTGATGCTTTTCTTCAACTTCAGGTAAATCCGCAAGTGGTCTCGGGAAATATCTAAATATTTTTATTTTTTTTTTTTGCTGTTTTAAAGCCC